CCACTGCACTCGCCCTCCCCAGTGTGAAGTAATACCCCTAAAACGCAGAGAAGTATGTTTGCTCAAATCTCTCATGATCATTCTTTACTGTCCTCGTACAACTTGGCCAAGCCGATTTGATTACAAGGTATCCACTGCACTCGCCCTCCAGCTCTTTGCCGTTCTCATCAAGGACTGCAACATCAACACCAAAGAATGGCAGGGTCGCACATCCCGGTTTCAACGGCCAAGCACCTGGCAATGGAGAAATCATGATGCTTCCAGTTTCCGTCTGCCACCACGTGTCGGCAATTGGGCAGTTGCCATGGCCAATAAGTGAATTGTATGGTGAAGACGAGGCACAGGTTACGGCCAGAGCCAATCTCGCACAGAAAGTAAGAGTCATAGAAAACAACAAATATACAATTTAGCAATTTACTGCCCGAAAACAGCCAATACAAGAGCTGCAGTTGGACCCAGCAAAATGGGCATGGACGCAGGGACGCTTCAACACGACACTCAAGAGCCAATCTCTAGACTGTACTACCAAGCTAGGGTACAAGCTCGGATGGAGCTTGCATGTACGAAATGCTGTACGAACCCAAAGGTGGGTGAAGCAGATAGGGGTGGATGACACCAGGTTGGAGAAGAGTCCATGGGGTTCAGGAAGAGTCCATGTCCACAGATGCATTCCATCAGCTTGGGCAGAGTCAGGAGCATGCAACGACTAGTTGTGTATCTGGCAGTACCAGTAAACAAATCACTGAATAAGCGCAGGAGTAAGGAAAGAAGCAGCAGAGTGAAGGAACTGTGTGCAATTTGTAAGGATGGTATGATGGAAACCCTCACCCATATCCTTCAGGACATCTGTTAAAATTGGAACTATACAGAGAAGATTAGCATGGCCCCTGCGCAAGGATGACACACAGAGATCGAGACATGGTCAAATTGTTTTGGCATGTATGACGGTCTTCTACTTGGGTCCTCAACCAAAGGGACACTGACGGCAGACTAGGAGGCTTAAGCAAGAGGAAGCGGATAAGCAAGTTCAGCCCCTGCAGGCTAGGCAGTTCACTTCCATCAAGTTATCAACATCGGTCAAAGGGGCGTTGCAGGCGGGGGTGAAAAAAGCACTTGGCTTTGTGCTCTAGTTAGTCACAAAGAAATTAGGCATCCAGTGTAGCCTGAGAGGGGAAATAAGTTGGGGAAAACTGGGAGAAGCGAACACGGGTGGAGCTGGGGTGAATCCTTCTTCGAAGGGAGCAATCAATGCTGCTGTCTCAGGGTCGCTTGTCCATAATGAAGGGAAGTGTGGAATGGGTCCATTTGATGGAAGGAACCCTGGACCTGCCTTCCAGGTCATATAGTAAAAGGTTGTCTTCATTTTTCTTCCTCTATATCTATACTCTTTATAAAGGGAATGGGGTCTCGCTTGACGCTGCTGCGAGCCCATGCTCCCTGTGTTGGGAAACAGTGAGGGACAAGGCGTGGGGGCCCAAGGGAAACCCACTGAAATTGTTGTTTTTTCTTTGACCGACGTGGCGCGAGTTTGAATGCCCACACGTGTAGTTTCATCCCCGCTCGTGGGTTTTCCATTCCCGCGCCCTGCCCGTGGGTTTTCCATTTGCGCGCAGTCCTTGCTTTTCTTTCGCGCCCGTGGGAGTTGAAGGCCGCTTCCATTCAGGCCGTTCGAATACAAGTTCATAGCAGCCCTTTTCCGCGTGTTCGAGGCCATAGATGTGCCTTTTACCGCGTTCAGATTCAATGCTCAAAAGACAAAAAAAATATGGAGACATACCTGTTCTCTCCCTCTCTCTGTGTGTCTCTGTCTCTCTCACACATGCACGCACACACACACGAAAAAAAAAAAAAACCGGCAGTGTGCATTTCCATGTTCTCGTGGAAGATTCATTCCGATTTTGCTCATCCTATTGATGGAAGTAGCCTCTCTCTATCTCTCTCCGTGCATGGCTGGAAAACTCTCTCTCTCTCTCTCTCTCTCTCTCTCTCTCTCTCTCTCTCTCTCTCTCACACACACACACAC